AAATAATATAAGATACTTACTATAATTAAAAATAACAATCAGTAAAATAAATAGCAAATAGAGATTTAATTATTAATTAATATTGCATTGTTTACCAACCGTAAAATTAATAACTTATCGCACCACGGCAATTTTTTTTCCTTTATTAAATATTGGCGTAAGTCACCATGAGGGGCATATTCAGAGACTATCATAGCATTGCATGACATTAGAGCCCAGAGCATAATTATTCGCCTGTAAAAAAATTCATCGTCAATGGCTTATTAACATTAGTGCTATAAATATTGCTGGATGAAGTTGTCTTACCGCGGAATATTTTGTACAAGAAATAAATGCACTGATCTGTTTATGGAAAAAAAAATCTTTTCAACGCAAATTATATAACATAACATAATGTTTGTACTGAACTTACCTCGCCCAAGAATTGCCCAAGATCTTCTTGATTATGCGGACATTTGAGAGCGACTTTAATTTCCTTGGACTGACGTACAAGATGATTCCAGCGTCGCTTGCAGTCTATCCAAATGGCAGAATATACTTTTGCGAAACCTCCTTCTGCCAAAGGCTCCACATCCTGAAGAATTTCGTAGGGAATCCACTCTAAATAATCGTGAAATCCAGTGGCGTTGAGTTGAGTTTCTTGGATTAAAGCATCGACGTTAGGGTGTCCACTTGTCGAAATTTTCTTGGAATCGGTGGATTTCACATGGAACACACCAACGTTTAGTCCAATAATTCCAGTGCTGTCTACAATTAGGACAAATGTCATAAGGTACTGCCTCAGTACTCATATTAACTAGAGTAGAAGCGGGTAAAGGTATTATTGACATACACGTTGCTTTTGCTCAAGATATAATTTCTTGTTTGTAACATTATTCGGAGTACTCTACTCCGGACAGCCACTACCAATTAAATCCAGCATACCTCACATGCGATTGTTGGAGGATATAGTGATGATGTTAAGAATGCATCAATGGTTATTAATAGTTATTTACGTAAGAAAGAATTTATTGTATTTGGTTTAGATAGACCTGAAGATGATTCTCTAGCAATTCGGTTAAGGTTTGATACTCCATTAGATTTGCAGAAGGAAATTGAGTTAAGACAAAAACCAAGACAAAAAATACATCGCCAGTTGAGTCCACGAATTCTGAATCTGAAAAAGGTCGAGATAATTGATATTCGTTGAACCAATATATGCGCATCGATATTCAATATTAACAATTTTAATAACTTTATTTTTCGGTACTTATGCCGGCACATACACATGGTCAATTACATAGTTAAAAAATAAAAGACCCAATGGGCTAGTTTATTAAGGTATAACGATGCAGACGGATTTATTGCATAGATTGTGACAGGTAAAATTCATTTTACAGTATATACAAGTTGTGCAACAGACATATTTCAAATTTTTTCAGTTAATGATGAATTTCATTAAAAACAAACACTTTGGGATTAATACTAAATCAGGTTAAGATCATCCGGTCCTGAAATACAAATAATTCCCCCTTATAATATTGATGCACGACGAAGATGCAATACAGTCGCTGTTGAGACGCGTTAGAATCTTAGTGATGAGAACTACGCTTATTAATGGAGATAGAAATAGAAATACCATGTACCATAATATTAGATGCGGGAAAAATGGCATTGGTCGCGATAGTAAACTTAAAACAATAAAACTTTGCCACGTGATTCGTATAATTCTTGTGTGACAGAATGTTTAAGAAATAGCTTGCGTATTTTATGATAATTCGCATCGAACTGTGTGCTGTATACAGTATATGGCAACTCTCTGGAACGAAAAATAAAATTTCGCTTACCTCCACATCATTCCGCGTAGCACAACCAAGAGGTATAATTTAAGGGTAGATGGTGTTACATATTTGTCGAAAACAGCCATGTCTAGTGAAACAGACGAACTAAAAAAGTACCGCCAGTTTTGGTGGAAAACTGGTAATATACATCCGAAAGCCAAGTGGGAAAAAGTCGTGTAAATTTCCTATTTGCTATAATGACTGGACATTTTATAAGCTAGTGACTGATATCGGTTATTTATTATCAAGTTTACCATATGAGCTCGTTACAAATGTGACGTTAGATGAGTATATTTTTCGAACAGATAAACATAATGTAAAGGGTCTTTGGGAATGGGAAAATGGAATCGTTCGCGTTATTGAACTTCCTTCAAAATTTCATGGGAAGAGTATTGCTACAGCTATATTGGAAATTGGTAATGCGTTTCGAGCCGTGATGTACACTTCTTCTGGCGTCACTTTCTCTGATGCGACGAGTGAGTGTTTTATTAGATTTCGTTATGACACTGTATTATAAGCATGTTTCTATTACCCACTATCCTTGATTAAAGCATTAAGAACAAGAGGAGGAGGCAAAGAGCCAGATGCATCTCTTATACCTTCAGGAAAACCTCAAGTGCCTAGAGGTGGATATAATGGAAATGTATGAAGAGTTTTCAACCTTGTTCATTTACTTATATGATTGTGTTGAATTTCTAATGTATGTGACGATATATACTCTTAGAATGAACCCTGGCCCAACGTTGTAATAGAGATTGCATATTCTGAAACTGAGGAACATCTTAAGGATAAAATAGAGAATTACTGGCTCCTTCCTAATAGAGTTCATGATGTAATTGCCATCAAGCTAAACTATACATCAGATGGTACGGTTCCAAAGGAGATGACAGTAAGTAATAACAACAGACATTAATTTTCGTTTGTTGCCCTGGTACCATTTGAATAATTTCTTCTTCAAAAGGCTTGGCATTATTGTGTAGATAATCTAACAGCAGCTGGTGCACTTTCCCCTGTAATGGTATGTTATGTTATTAAATACTTGTTTTTTTAACATAAAATTGAACATATTTTCTATTTAGTATGAATTTGGAACAATTAATCGTCAAAATAGTCCAACGGTTAATATTGTTAAGCATTATGAATCTAAAAATATGTTTGCTATAAATACAGATATCATAATTAAAGTTTAGTTACCTATAACAGATTTGAATTCAGTTAATCAATATCATTAAGATTATCACTGGAATAAATATGACGAACTAAATAGATTCTATTACTTGATCATATTGGAAGAATTTGAGAAAATAAACTTGTTTTTTGCGTACTTCATATTATAATACCTCAAGTCCGAACAAGTTATTTTATTATCCTCACATATTTTTTATATAACAATCTTCTAGTTACAAAAGGGATAGGATTGGAAAGGGGAGGAGAGGG